AGCCCGCCATGAAGTGCAACATAAGAGAGAAGTGATAAAATAAACTGGCAGAATTATGAATGAAATAAAAGCAGGAAAACAGAGCAATACTCGTATAGCGAGCGCTCATGCATTTGCATGTTAGAGGGGCTACGCTCGAGCCGAAGCGTTTCCAGCAAAGCATTCAGTGCAACCAGCGTGTAAATTTAAATGTGTGCACATATGGTGCGCTACGGAGTGCGACAATCTGAAGTGCATACACTGACATTTAACCAACAGCTGCGCATTTCCCTTGAAGACTTTTGGGGTTTCTGCTTGCTTGTTCTCTAAAAGGATTTGTAGATTTTTATAGTTTTGATGGTTTAAACTGCATTAAAAAAAACAAAAACAAAAAAAACTTCACAGCCCAACACAATAGCCAGCTATCCGACGGTGCTTGAAGATTTTTTGTTTAGTGTGTTTGCCGTGCTAAAGTACTGTAGTCTCTTTCCTGCTTTAGTTGCCCCAGAAGGAGTTATATAAACAAGTAAGGAAGTGCTAAGTTCGTGTGTAATCGAACATTTTTTGCTCAGGTATACTCCAGAACATATTTTGAAACAATTTTATTTATAAATAATACTAACTGACCGACATATTCGGCATACAACTTGCTAATACCTCATACCATGAACACGCCACATACTAATAAAATGCTTCATTAAGGTACTTCACATACCATCAAAAATCATAAGTCGTAAAGTCAGCCGGATGTTCGAAAATCTTGATGTTAGTTAAATGGGAGCTAGGTCAAGCTTTCACTCAATTTTAGCCGTCTTATGTTTGGAACAAAGATACACTATTGTGATTAAAACAGATATATGAGTTTCCACCTAAAGGTGGGCAGTGCCACGCCCATTGTCCGTTTTTTGTTTTGTCCTGAGTGAACTTGGTTATGATAGCTTTAGTGGTTTAAAATTTCAAACTGCAGATGACCCTCCCTAATGCGATTCCTTATAGCAAATAACAGCCTTGTATCTTATTGTGGATGTTTTTATTTTATTGGTGTTCGATTAATGGCGTTGTGGGAGTGGCAATTGTCCGATTACGGCTATCTGCAATACCAATCAGTCTTACGGCGCCCAGGTACTTGTGTACCAAGTTTTATCGGACAGTCAGCCATCCGGACTTAAACTCGTCCCTTCATCATGATCTTTAGCAAAATGTTGCAAGAGTATAATAAATTAATTTTCTTTCTTTTACTATTATAAATCATGAAGGGAAAGCTGACATTAAATCGTCAAAATCTTACGAGTACCACGACTAATTTTTATCTTGACATTTCTTTCGAACAAAGTAAAAGTTGATTTGGGCTTGTTTGATATCTTTGAATGGTTTTCCCAGGAAACTTTTTTGTTTGAGATGCATTGTGTTTGTCCTTCTGCCGAGGAGCCATCACAGTGTGCTCGGAGATTAAACCGCTGCTTTTGATATGTATGCATGTTGAATTTCGTGAAGATTTATTTTCAAATAAAAAATATTTCTTTAAAAGAACTTGGTTTGATCATTCAGTTTGTATGTTAGCTATATGCTTTAATAACCCGATCTGAACAATTTGTTCGGAGGTTTCACGCTTGCCTTGGACAATAATTTATGCCAAATTTTGTGAAGATATCTTGTTATATAAAAAAGTTTTCTTTACAGAACTTAATTTTGGTAGCTATATGCTATAGTTTCGCAAAATAGCAGCTTCTTAGGAAGAAAACCACAAAACTGAGGGAATAGTCGCATACAGATAGACAGGCGGACCGGTTTTTACCGCGCCGACCTCTATGACTTTACCATCAGCGGGGAACAATTAATAAGGATAGGTGAATGTAGAGTTTTATACTAACTATAAACCCGTTTTCTAAACTTGATTACGTTCCGCTAGTTTCTAAAACGTCGAATATCCTCAAAACAGAGGTTCATATTACATAAAATTAAATAAGTAGGTATTTCTCAATCGATTACCTTGGTTACATTGTTCTGCTCATTCCTTTGCATAATAAATATTTTCAATTACGGACGGACAAGTTTTCCTGTAGCAATTAGCAAAATTTATATTGCAGCTAAACCGCAAAAGCTATCGACTTTTAACAATTTTATCCAAAAACCAATTGCTGCTTTCCTACTTTTCGAACTTTCTACCTGCACAGATTAAAGTTCACAAAATCCATTATTTTTTTACAAATCTGTTATACATACACGTTCGCATGTATGCATGAAAATGCCATTCTGATACCCAACAAACATCGATCGCATGCAATGCTCAGGATGTTATTAGATTCAATGGATATCGAAACGAATATTCCAGAAGCAGAGTTCTTTTTATAGACTAACGCAAAAATTTTAGTTTCAAGCAAATTCTAGGCGTCTTTTCGATTTTCACTTTATTTAACTGCTTTCACGGCTCTTGATTTTTGGCTGAGCTGCTGTCCTGCTCTACCGATGAGCAAACAGAGATCTCGGCTGTCCAACGCAATCATGTTCACATTTTCGGCAACAGTAAATCGGTGTTTGCTGGGTGTCTACATATATTCTCATTTAAGTGCAATAAAAATGGTTGGATTTTTCGTTCGTTCCTTTGGTTTGCTTACTTTATTTTGTTTAACTTTTGTATTTAGTTAACAACATTTGCCCAACCGATATCCTTCAGATCGGTGTCCATTTGAAGTCGTAAATAAAGTTGAATGTGTACGTAACACCCAACTACAGGGTGAGGGATAAGAAAGTAAATTCACCAGCAAATATGTGTGTGCAAGCACCAAAGTGCATTGCCTCAAGTAGAGTGGCGTAGGGTGGTCCGACCGACTAGCGCCAGGGGTTTTGTTGTTGTGTGGGCGAGTGTTTTGACAGAGAATGCGAATTTGGAAAGTTTGAAATTGGGGCACCTAGTGCAAATATGATATATGACTGCTAGCACACTCGAGTGCAGTTCATGAATTGTGCACGAACTTCGTCGCAACAACAACAAATACAACAGAAGCTTTTTAACTTACACCCGGAACGCAAGGACGGCGGCCAGTGGTTGTTGGGGCGAAACTGTGAGAAAAATTACTACGCTCCTGCCACATATTTACTTTCGAAGCATATGTGTTTGCTTATACATATATGTGTGGGTATGTACATTTCTCAAAAACTTTGTGATATGGCATACATACATTTGTGTGTGTGTATTTACAATTGTGTGTGTCCACGCTTGCCAGTTGGCACCTGTACAGTGTGACAACAACAACTGTGGTAACTGTGCAAATAACTCAAGCGAACTCGGTCAGCCAAACGGTTGTCCGACGCACAAGCTCTCAGCCAGTGCCCACACAATCAGTCGAGCTAGAACTTTATTAGGAGTGAAATTGGACAGACGGGTAAATACACATACCTGTAAAAGTAGTTGTGTTTGTGTCAAGTGCGCCTGAGCAAGCTTAAGTAAAGGCCAAATTCATTTTAAGTCAATATATAACGAGTGCTGCAGCGGCTGGGGTCCCCAAAACAAAACACATTTTTTCAGTAGCACGTTATTATTATTGGATTTATGAGAAGTTAGATTGTGAATTAGTTTTTAGCGCAAAATATGAATGCCTATAATAATCCTGTTGATAAGCGATATTTACTGCCTGGCATCGCCAATTTAATGGATGCACCGATATTGCACTACGCTTTTGGAAAAGAAAATGTATTAAAAAAAATAAAATTCAGGCAGCAATTGGGCGGCACCACGGTAACCATTAGGTTCTTGAAAGGAATCTGCAGACCCTTTCCACACTCTAAAATGGCGTTAAGGTCTGTAAAAGGCAGATCTTAAGCTGAGGTGTATAACATAGTTATAAATGTCTATAAGTTAGTATGCTGCATTCATTCCTGACATGCGTATGAAGTGGTGGGGGTAACTTTCATTATGCAATGATTTAGTGTTCGAAGCTCTGTGTGGTTTTTAAGCTTACTACCCTATTTACATATCTACAAATGTACTTTCCTTCGCTTGCTTATTTTGGCAGTCCACATGCCTTTCAAAGTTTATTTAAGAGTTCGACTTTGAGCGCGTTGCGGGTGTGTTGAGGGCCACATGCTGAACTTAGCTCCGCATTCAGTGGAGCTGGTGTAAGTGTGGGGTTTTACTTGCACCCTGTTCACAAATCTTTGTTGTTTGGTCGCAGTTTGTAAGCCAAATCGGGTTAGTCATCCGTTGCTCTGTCGAATTGGCTGGCACCAGCACTTCGTTAGCTTAAACTGGTTGTGTGCTTGGCTTAAGCTCGAGCACCTGCCCGTTGTCAGTGGATCATTGATCAGGCATTGCTGCCGTTAAGTGCACCTTTTTAACAAATTTGATTTGGTACCGTTAGGTAATTGGCCAGAAACTGCCTTAGCGCGTCACATAGCATAAGCTGAGCACACGAACCTTTTTTCGACTGAAATTTAAATGTTTTCGGGAAGGTGTAGGTGTACAACTCCTGATAATATTTTGTATACACATTTTACGTAATCAAGTACCTACTATTTTCGTGTAAGCTGGAGCGGCACGAATATCATACTGGCTCAATTGTCGGCAAAAGAAAATATATATATATAATCCATACACAACCGAATAGGAATACGAGTATATGCTTGACGATTATACTCGTATACTCGTAAATATTTAATGGCTTCCCCTGTGCTGTGGCGTGATTTTAGGCGCGAACGTTTGCGCACTGCCAATAATAAGTCAGCTAATTGGGCCCAAAGCGAGTCGCTTGGCAAATACGCTATGTCGGGTGGCATTTACGAGTGTTTCGAGACATTTTTTTGCGTTTCGTTTTCTCTCTTTCTTTACTGCCGGCACGTGTATGGGCGTACGAAGATATTTGGAATACAAATTATTCTTTTTACAGCCAGAATGTAATTGTATGCGTGGCGTTAGTGTAATTTTAATTAATTTAATTCTGGATTCAATGTCTTTATTTTGTTCGCTTGTTTTATTGTTGCCACATTTTACAGAATTGTTCATGAATTTCTTTTTTCACTTGCAGATTTTTAAAAGTACCGTTGTGGAATTTGTGAATGGGCTTGGAATAAATAACTAAAAAGCAGCGCGAGACTAGCAAGCATCTATACATGAGCGAATGCTGTAATGAATATATAAAAAAGTACGAAAATCCTTCAAGAATTTGAAAGGGCCACAGAGAAGGAAAGTTTTTCTTTTCAAATGGGGGCTATGCACACGCAAGTGGCGGAAATTAGGACTAGAAAAACAAGTTAATTAGCGAGGCTAAGGGCAGTGGAGATATTCACCGAGAAGAACATGTACACAGAGTTGTTAATTGAATAGCATTGCGTCAACTGAGGAAAAGCATAAGAAAGTTAAGTGCGGAAATAAAAAAGAAGACGCTAAGACAAATCAACAGCAGAATTGCAGTCCGCCCCTAAAAGCAGAAGCAAAATTAGTTTCAATTAAGCGAAACACAGCGTATACTTCAAGGTGCTTCCGATTTCGCATGCCGGTCATTTGCAATGTTGTACTCCTCGCTGTTGCCGAATCGCTTCATTAGAGCGTGGTAGAGTGCTGCGCGAGGCAAAAGTGCAGGCTGTGAGCTGAAACTGCAAACTGAACGCAAGCAAAGTCAGCATCAACTAAAAGTCCCACGATAACTATATATATAGATATACATATATATATGTAAACAAACGCACTTAGAGATACACGATCGTAAATTCGTATCGCTTCCAAGTTGCGTACAAGTTTCGACGCTGTAAATTAAATTGCAACTTCCGAGGGCTGTAGCAACAGCAGCAGCGGAAAGCGGAAAGTAAAAATAAAACGTAAAAACATAATAATGTGCAAGGCAGGTATAGTTAGTGCGCAGCAATAAAAATTCGAAAAAAAATCAAAGCGTAGTGCACGCTACTATAACAACAATAACAAAACAACGCACAATGGATTTGGCAAAACTGCAACGAGCAACGCCATTAGCGGTGGCGACGATACGCCGTAACCAAATCAAAAGTGTCACAAGAACAACAACAGCAACGGCAGCATGTGCTACAACAACGGCAGTAAGCACAAACACAGCCCCAAGAATATGCAGTTCAATGCCGTTGACATGTAAAGCTGCGTTGCGAACGTTATCTACAACAACAACGATAGCGCCAACAATCCGCATCAGCAGCAAGAGCAGTGACAACAACAACTGCGGCAGAAATGGCAAGGAAAGCGCTGCAACGTCAGAGCAAGCGTCGCCACGTCTGTTGGTCGCTTCCAACTCGGGCGGCTGGCGCAGCTGCATCGTTGGCCTTGTGACGCTGTTGGTGTTCACAGCGAATTTCAACAGCAGTGTCGGCCAAATCGATTGGGATGATGACGATGATCCAGGTTAGTCACCACAGCTCGCTGTTATGAATTCGTTGCTTTGTTTTTTGTTGCTATCTTTTTCAATTCATTTGGCAGGAAATTTGTACAGCTCCCGTTATTACTTTCGCTGTTGAATTCTAGGTCAGCGCAGAGCACATACACCTGAACAATTGAACAAACAATTGCTGTGGCCGCGCAGCAAAAAATTAACTAAATTAAGCGTAACAAGAACAAGGATCCACGTTGGGGAGAGATGGGGGGGTGTTTAACATTAACAAGGGGCCGCACTTGTAATGTAGTCATTTCATATTAATTTCAATGCCAAACACTCTTCGTCGGCACATAGCTACACAAGCCTCTTGCAACATAAAATTTCGCTTAATTGAAATCATGTAACTGACGCGGCTTCTCTTCTCCCCTCAAACGTGCTGTTGGCGCGTGGAAAGTATTCAATTACACCAGACTTCAAGCGCACACACACACACACACATAAAACAGGCATAACCGAGCTTGACGCATTGACAAAGGGGCAAAATGGGTCAGCCGACATAATATTATTGAGTTGGTTGCATGAGAATGATAATGGCATTTGTTGCCTTGCCTTTTGGCGTTGGGCTGTCGGCCTTAGCGTTGTCATTACTTTCAAATTAATTTACGTCATCATAACGCTTTTTGCTGTTTGATTCAAATTATGTTTTTAAGGTTGACAAAAGGTGTAAACGCTTTATAAGTGGATTATAGCGCCCCCACTGGCTAGAGTTTCAAAGGCGATTATACTGCTCCCCCTTAATCGACACAAGTGAACAACTTTGAAGAGAGGGACAACTGCTAAAATACTTCAAAATTATAAATATTTGAAATTCAACAGCTGGAACTATTTATATGTTACTTTTAAAAAATTTCTCTTTGGTGTATTTTGAATATAACACGGCTTTTTAAAATTAGGCAATTCACAAGCTTTAAGACAAAGTCTTATGTCGTATTTCAATAGTCTTAAAAAATACGACACCTTTGAGCAAACCTAATCGTTTTATGTCATATTGTATAAAATTTCTAAAATTAAGAATACAAAAATTTCATTAGAAACTGACAAACATAAAATTAAAGCTTCTTTATGTTGAAACGAAAACAAAAAAATATTTTCATATTTCACTTTTCTGAAACCTGAATATCGTGGCTTCCTTTCATATTATTATAGAAATTGATGAAATTTATTTAATTTACAACAACAGTCTTGATATGACAGTCTTAAATACATAAGACAATATGACGATATGACACAATATGACACCTCGTGAATACCCTAAATATTTAAAATGAAACTCAACATTTAAGTTACGACTGAAGAGGTCTGCATATCCTTAATATATTTAAATATTAATACTCTTGCAACATGTTTCTACAGAGTAAAATAGTTTTGTTTACCTAACGGTTATTTGCATTACCTAAAAATAGTCGAGTTAAATATAGGGGTTTATATATATAAATGATCAGGATGACGAGACGAGTTGTAATCCGTGGGAGTGTCTGTTCGTCCGTCTATCTGTGAAAGCTGTTACTTGAATAAATATTGAGATATTGTAATGAGACTTTGCTTATGTGTTGTTCCTTGGCAAAAAAGTAAGGGCTACTGCCACGCCCACAAAACGCCAGTAATTGTAAACATATAAAATGCCATAAGTAAGCAATAAATTAAGATATTAAACAGTAATTTGGTACAGGCGATTGCAGTAGTAAGAGGTATCTGTGGGCTAGCATTGTTTTTAAGCTGAGCGTTATAGGGTTGCTTTGGATAACAATCTATGTAAATTTCATAAAGATATCTTGTCAAATAAAAAAGTTTTACATATAAAGGTTTGAGATTGATCGATCAGTTTGTATGACAGCTATAACCTAAAGTGGTCCGATACCGGTGCTTTCGACAAACGAGCAGTTCAACTGTCAAAACTAAGGCACTAGCGTATATACAAATTATACAAATACAATTAAATATATAATATATACTCGTACTTTATAGGGTCTTCGACGCTTCTCTCTGGGTGTTACTAAGTTCGTGGCAAACTTCATATACCCTGTTCAGGGCATAATAAAATTCTACTTCTGCTACTTCTTTTCGAAGCTGTGTTTTATTTTATATTATTTTTATTATTATTTCTTTTTTTTTAATTTTTAAAGTTGTCGATGGCTCTTATTTAATCGGACTCTGTAACTTGGTAAATTGTCACTCTTTTATTCATTATAAAACTGATTCAGTTCAATAATTGACGTTATTTGCAAGTTTAGTCGGATTAGCTTTAAATCGTCTAATAAATTAGTGTTAATCTCCGGTTGATCATAAAAAGCTAATTAAATGCGAACATAAAAAATCTGACTACGACTGTCCAATGCTTTCTGCGCCCTGCCCTTAATGTCATGTCCACACACATACATGCAAATGTTTTGTATCTCTATTTATTGTAATTAAGCATAATTCGTGCAGAAGTTCGTTATAATGAAAAGACAGAAATTTTGACGATTTTACGACATTTATGAAGGCGCAACCCGTCGTTTTTACCGACAGTTTGCTGCCGTTAGAAATGGAGTCAGAAGTTAATAATAAGTACATTAACTAAAAATAGCAAAACAAAGGTTGATAATATACAGACATATGTGTGTGCTTGCGAAAACCACAGTTGTCTCCCGTAACAACCCTTGTCAGCAGGTAGCTGAATATGAACAGCAGTCGCGTGTTCTGACAAAATTCCATTTCGCTGTATAACTTCATTAATTATCTGCGCTGTGTGATAATGGAGAATATTTACTACGCGTTGAATGCTGATTCTTGATTTGAAACTAGTGACTTATGTAATTACTGTACCATGACAAAGCGAGGGGGTATGTGTGTGCAAATCATGACTACAAATCCCGCATGTTTGACTGACAGTGGAATTTTGTACAATACTCGTATTAAATTTAAATTTTCTTCGGATATCTAGGGTAAGCCCCTGCAAGCGTTTACCGCCTTTACATTTCTCTTGCTGCTAAATGTCATGCGGCGTCGAATGTTTCAGCCCTTTCCCCAGCTCCTTTTTTGGCTCACTAATCGACACGACGTCGGCGTCAACGGAGCGCTATGAAGAATTCCAGATTTCATAAAATCACTGATTGTTGTAATGCTCACGCACGTTTCGAACGCACACGAGGAAACTCAAGTATATGGTACTTGTATTTACTTCTGCTTAATTTGTAAGCGTATGTATAGAAATACATTATTATACATATGTACCATATATATGGTAGTTTGCATGTATAGGGGTTTATGCAGTGAGTAATAGCTGTATTAAGAGTACTGCGCCACAAGCATTTGAACTATTTGCCGACGATTTGCCTCTGGCATTGTGACTGCTCCTTGCTTTTTTCAGCCCGACCGCTTACTAATATTTACTTGACAAGTGGATTAGAAAGGTGCCACAGCACGAAATTGCGCGCATTTGCCACAGAGCCATGTGCGCCTCCGATATACATACGTGTATAACAACTAACGCATATACGAGCATATATACATTTGCACAGTGTCGGTTGGAGAAGTTTCGGAGTTCTTGAATTCGACTCAAAATAAATTTGAAACAAACAGTAGTGAAATTGAGCAAATCCGGTCCACAGACCTTACATTTTTTAGCACTCTGTGATAAATAAAAAAAGAAAAAACAAAGCAAAGGCAAAATTTATTTTTAATTATTTTTTAATTTTAACTCTTCAGAGACAAACTGATTGTAGTTGAATAGTTTAAGTCTGAATCAGGTATTGTTTCCAAACTCATTAGATCCCAAATTGAAAAAAGTTGTAGAATATCCAACCTCTGCGTGAAGGTTTCATGCTCACTTCCGAGAAGTAAGGCTTTGCGAGATATTTATATAAGTTAGAAATTTACTTGAAATTTTCACGTAACCCGATCCACGTTAATCATTGCTGGAGCTACACACACAGTTACAAATATATACTTCGAAATTTATTTGCATATTTTCTGTATGTCTTCAGCAACTTAATAATATTTATAACTAACGTCGACTTACTTACACACGTCTGTTTATATACGAATCGTGATACTTGAATGTGCCAGCAGTGAGGTATCGTACAGCTAGTGTTTTTGTTGTAGTCGTTGCTGTTATTACTTCAAGCTTCTGCAACTACTGCCTTAATTTGTGAAGGAAACACTTCATCTTTTATAAACCTACGCTGCCCCAAGAGTCCTTATACGCTAATACCGACACGCACTCCTTAAAGTATGCCTGACTATATGAATATGTTCTATCACAAACATAAATACTCATCTATAATGCGCTTAGAGCTAGGTGGCCACCTGATGTGCACGTTCATAACCTGCTTTAGCTCTGCCCCGGTGCTTTACTTCTCATTCACACTGTATATGCGAAGTCATGGCGCGTTTGTACTGTGTCTTGTCTTAGACTCTAGGTAACAAACAATAATAGTTAAATTATATAAATTATTATTCACATAAGAGTAGCCGCTGTAAGCTTGATAGAATATTAAATAATTTAAATAAAATTTTATTTGGCTTTATTTATAATTTGATTGTTATTTATCCTGATTCGAAAACTTGAAGTCCGGCGAATCGAACAAACAACTGTTAAACTGTCAAATATCAAGTATGGTACCGTTAATATAATGAAAGAGAAGAATATCTCACTTCCTTAGTGTGTAAATTTTCTATTCTCTCGAAACAAATAAGTAACGTTGTTGTTATTTTCAAACGGAAATTTGTTTGCAGTGAAAAAGTAAGAAAATATAAAATAACATGTTAGAAATATTACCACTGTGCATCGATCGAATTTAGTGGCCTGAACTGCTGAAAAAATATAGGTGTGTATGTATATGCGATTGTACTTCGGTACTTCTTCATTCGTTTATTGCCGCTGTCGGTCAAAAATGTTGGATTGGCTGTTAGCACGCGACGTTGTTGCTTTAAAAAATGAAATTATAATTTATAATTTTTTGCTGAAACACTTTGTGGCTAGATGACG